CTCTTATAAAAAATTCATTTAAGCTCCAATCAATTCAATTCAGTTCAGCTCCAATCAATTCAGTTCATTTCAGCTCCAATCAGTTCAGCTCAGTTCAGTAAATGTGAACAAACCCTTAATGGCCGAATCAAATTTGGTCACTTTTATACACCAATAAAGCTCCGTCAAGAATGATGCAAAAACAGCTAAAATTATTTAGGAGTAGTTTAGAAGTGATGTCATTAATTTTAGAATATTTAATACTCCCTCCGTCCCTAAATTACATTCCTCTTTCTCTCTATTATGTGAGGAATAAATGCTAGAAAAAGGAATGTAATTTAGGGACGGAGGGAGTACTTGTATAGGAAATTTTTAAATCTGTTAAAAGATTATTATAGTGATATCATCCCTTCCTATTAAAAAATAAATACTACTTAAATAATAGTAGTATCATTTTTCATTCGCACCAAAAAATAATGTATCTCATTTTCTTGAGACGCCTACTTTTCAATTTTTCATTGATCTATTGTGAGACTCTAACACGAACTCATCGATTCCCCATCAATTTTCTCCCTTTTCCCACAAGAAGGTAGATTAATTATTTCTATTTCACACTTCGGCAATCTTGTTGAAAATTTTAACGAACCAATATAGAACTATGAGACTCTTCACTATCATGTATAGTTTCAGCCATACACTTTGACTATCTTTTCATCAACCTATTATCTCTATACTTTTTTACTTGACCTATTTCGTTTATCATGTTTGCCAAAAAATAATTTTAACCATCAATATTTTTAAATCTTAATAAATTAAAATCATAAATATAAGATATTGTTATACGAGTAATATTTATCGAGACATAAGATGATGAAAAGTTTATAGAATTGTATTTTGCATTCTAAATTTAAAATTCTTGGCCTCTTTTTCATGAATATATATATTGCCACGCACGTATTTTGATTAATCAAAAATGGATTTATATAATTTTAATTTTTTAAACAAAAAGTATGTAATAAATTATATTACATATATCAACAAAAAAAAAACACTAAGCATTATTCCTCTAAATTATTTATATATAAAATGCCTCAAATGAGAAAGTCTCTCGCTCATAAATTATTCATCTTGATTTGATTTTGGATCACAAAACTAAGCATTATTCCTCTAAACTTTCAAGGTTTTACAATTGTTGGTTTGATGCTTGTATGGATACAAATATGACATAATTAACAATTAACATATATACATCATGTTAATTAGCTTGAAGATGGATTTATAGAGTCTCATGTCATGCAAATCATGCACTAATTAATCAAGATGAAACAAAATCTATATGATTATCATCAAAATCATCAAGCTTCTTAAGATCCTCCTTATTAGGTGGATACTTACTCCATTCAAACTTCTTGTAGTATTTATGTTTTTGGATATGATACAAGTATATACCTTTCTCGGTTGCTTTCCAAAAACAATGTCTTCCTCCACATTGTCTATCCACAAATTCTACCACGTCTCTAAATGTGTCAAAAACCTTGAAAGCGCGACTAGGGATCATAAGTTCACAAAAGAAAGATATCGTCTTGAACATTTGAGTTGTGAATCCGTGTGTATAATTGCTATTTACAGGAAGGCGAACAAGACCGAGATCATCATTCTCTGAATTACAATGGACATTCATAATGCCATTGTCCATTGCATTTTCAATGCTAAATACATATTTTGCAGGACCAATAGCCCATCCTTTTACAAATAATGGTTGTTTGGATATGAATAAGAATAAAAATGTTACAAAAAGTTTTGAGATTTGAAGAGTTTTTGATGTTTTTGCCATTTGATTTATCAATTTTATGTGCATCATCTAGTCTTTAAAGATGAATTACCACATAGAGAAATAGGTACTATTTGTTGGTCTTTCATTTTTAGGGAAAAAAATTTGGGTTGATGTCTCTTATGACCTGTCATACATATTATATAAGCACCCTATTTATACATTGATTAGTAAATTAGCTGGCTAATTAGAAATTGGTGGGTAGCCTTTCATTTCTCATTTACTACTTTGTAATGAAATAGAAAGTTGTAGAAATAATTTTAAAGCAATAATAGGGGAAAAAAAGCCTTAAGAACCCAAGTATTTACCGAAATACATATGGAGTACTACATCTTTGTAACTTCGTTTCACAATACATGCAGCGTTATGTATACACTTGCTAACTTTGACTATACTTTTAATAATAACATATAAAACTAAATCAAATGTCTATATGTAAAATATTGTTGGATTAATCTCAATGTATATTATCATAATAAGATCCAAAATAGCCTCGAAAATCTTTAATAGAACATTTTCCAATGCGCAAATCAATAAAAAAATATTAATAAATTGGGAGTGGGCCCTACTAACAAAATTTTTAACGGCGGGATAACGGCAAGGTTACCGTATGGAAACAAAATGTATATTGGGCTTACAGTGTGGAAAATGATATATGTTGGGGCACAACGTAGAAAAGTGAATTTAACAAGGTTATATATAGAAAAAACCCAAAAAAAAAAAACATTATCGAGTTGCACATTTGCCGCACACAATTAGTATTATGTGCACCATAGTGCACCTAGAAATAGGTGCACTTGGCCCAATCCACACCCAACACAAGAAGTCCAAACGAAAGAAGCCCATGAAGTTTTTTTTTATTTATTTCTTATTATTTTTTTATAATAGTTCCTCCTCTCTCCAACTGTTAAATCTATTTAACTTCAAAAAAAAATGTCATATCTATTTTTATTTCATTTTAAAAATTTTCTCTCTCCTCTCATAAATTAAAAACCTTCCTCAATGAATTCTTTTATATTTTCTTTCTCCTCTCACTATTTTTCCCTCTCTAAAAACTGCAATCTACTATGACAAAAGACAAAAAACAAACGAAAACACCTTCAAAAAAATAAACAATACTTAACTTTTTTGATTTTCCTACATTTATGTTAAATAAATTTGCTAATATAATTCAACAAATTGTAAAATTGAAACTATATTCTACTATATAATTGTCTTTTTGACTTTTTTTAAATTATTTTTTTTTTATTTTTTTTTGGTTGAAAATCAAAATTATTTGCTCCTACTGAAGAGGATAAAGATGTGTAAGTAATTTTTTGTTTAAGTTCACAATTTGTTTTTAAATTGTACAATTAGTCAAATGTTCAACATCAGAACACCAAAAGAAGAAGAAATTCGATGATGTATCTAAGAAAAAACCAATTGTTAAAAACTTCTGAACCCCAATTACAAACCACTGAACACCCTACAAAAACCTTTGAACCCCCTACAAAACTTTTGAACCCCAACCACAAACCATTGAACACCCTTCAAAAAATTCTGAACCCCTACAAAAACCTCTTAACCCAAACCATAAACTACAGAATACCCTACAAAAACCTCTCAACCCTCTAAAAAACTTCTGAACCACAACCACAAACCACTAAACACCCTACAAAAACCTCTGAACCCCCTGCAAAAACTTTTGAACTCCAACCATAAAACATTGAACACCCTTCAAAAACATCTGAACCCCCTACAAAAACTTCTGAACCCCAATCACAAACTACTGAACACCCTTCAAAAACCTCTGAACCCCCTACAAAACTTTTGAACCCCAACAACAAACCACTGAACACTCTACAAAAATCTCTGAACTCCCTACAAAATTTCTGAACACAAACCACTGAACACCCTTCAAAAACTTCTGAACCCTTACAAAACCTTTGAACTCCAATCATAAACCACTAAACACCCTTCAAAAACCTCTGAACTCCCCTGAACATCAATCAGAAACCACTGAACACCCTTCAAAAATCTCTGAACCCCAACCACAAACCACTGAACATCGTACAAAAATATCTGAACCCCCTACAAAACTTCTGAACACCAACCACTGAACACCTTTTTAAAAACTTCCGAACCCTTACAAAAACCTTTGTACCCCAATCATAAACCACTGAACATCCTATAAAAACCTAAACTTATGAACCCAAACCACAAACCACTGAACACCCTAGATGAACCTCTGAACCCCCTACAAAAACTTCTGAACCCCAACCACAAACCACTGAACACCCTTCAAAAACTTCTACACTTAAAGACACTGTTCAGAATGCCAAATGTTCAGATTTATAAATTATAAAGTAGATAATGCCAAATTTTTTAATAAAATTAAAAATACATAGATCTAAAACAAAAATAAGTTCATAAGTAATTTATGGCATGTTCAGAATTATAATAAAGATGTTCGAAATTCCAAAAATACATGTTATGTATTTACAGAAAACGTATCATACGTTCACATTTTTAACTTAAAATGTTCAAAATACTAAAATATAATCAAATACAGAACTGTTCATAACAAAATGCACAATTATCACTAAAAAAAAGTCAAAAGAATATAAAAGCTACTCATTTCGAAACTCAAACCTAGCCATGGTGATTTAGATAATGAAATCTCATGAAAAATAATCTCACCATCGTCTTAACCACCTTCTATTTGACGACGACGCCATTTTTAGCTTCACTACTTCATTGTAAAACTCCATTAACAAAGCTTCAAATCGAAGGTTGAAGAAAACAAATTTTGAATTTAATCTATTGTAGTGAAGAAATTCACTTTATGATGATTAACAATATGAAGGAATTCAATTTAAAAGATGATGAACGAATTCAAGAGAAAGAAAAACAAAATAGAGGAGAGAGAAAAATCAGAAATTAGGAAAGTAGAGGAGGAAAGAGAATAGAGATTATATTTTAATTTGAGGTTCACATAGAATTATATGCACCATGATGCATCTTATAATTTGCCGCACACAAGCTTATTGAGTCAAGTCAGAGCTTACTCAACATGTGCTCATCAAATCTTTGAATCAAGCCAAGTTTGATACTTAGCCAACTCATGTCAAGTTTTAATCAAATTTAGATCGAACTAATTTCAAATTACTCCCAAGCTGCTTAACTCGATTAGCCATCGTAGACTAATAGTGCCCATAGTTCAGCTCAAAAAAATCATGGCCTAACTCGGAAGTGGGAAAGGCCCAACATTTCTTTCTTTCGTTTCTTCTAAACACAATTATTTTGGCTTTCCTTCTTCAAGCTTCTCTAATGGCGGCAAAATAAACCACAACCATATTACAATTTCTTCTCCATTACAAACCATCTCCACATAATCAAAGAAATCAAGCTCTCATCAATGGAGGATGAATCAGAGATATACGACGGAATTAGGGCACAATTTCCCCTTTCATTCGGCAAAAAATCAAAACCCCAAACCCCACTTGAAGCCATTCACAACACTACCCGTCGATCAACTTCCGACCAACAATCTCCGGCAGCTAATCCCGCCGCCGATTCCTTCCCTTCTCTCTCCTCCTCTTCCAAAGCTTGGATTGATTCCGTCCGCCCAAACCCTAACCCTAAACCCCATGATTCTGAGTCTGATGAGAAATTAGTGGGCCCACCTCGCCCGCCGACTATTGAGGAGGATGATGATGATGGGGATTTGATTGGGCCGCCTCCACCTCCTTCGGTGGGCTCAGTTGATGATGATGATGGGGATTTGATTGGGCCGCCGCGGCCCGCTGAGTCCAAAGGGAGGACTTTTGATGAGGATACTGAAGATGAGGATGATGATGAGGAAGAGGGTACTCGACATCGGATTCCTTTGAGTAATGAGATTGTTTTGAAGGGACATACTAAGGTAATTGAATAACAAATTTTATTTTCTTTAAATTTTAGTTTGTTTAATTTTTTTTTTTATTTTGATTGATTTTAGTTTTTATAATTTTGGCTAATTGTTATAGTAGTATGATGATTAATGAGCAGGTTTGTATTTTGATTACTTTGTTGTGTTATATGTGAAATTAAGCTTGTTTGGTATTATTGGCAAAGATTGAGGATTATAATTGTAGCTGAAAATCTAGTTAGAAATGGTTTATTGTGTAGTCGCCTCTTAGCGTAAGTGTTTCGAGGGGGTTTCGATAGATGCTGTTTTAATTAGTCCATGAATTATTGATAAGTAATCATATTGCTATAATCTTGAGTTGTGTTTGTGGGGGTTTCTTGTGAATGTGATTCAAGATCATGCCTTATGGTTAGTTTACTGCCAGGGGCGGAGCCATGTAGGAACAAGGGGGGACGGTTGTCCCCCCATTTTTCCAAAAAAAAATTTAATTTATGTTAGCTTAAATAAATGCTGTAAATAAGAATAAATACCTTACATGTATACCTTATATAACAAAGACAACATTTGGTCTGGTGGTTGATGGGCTTGAGTAAAGCTTGTATTTCTCTTTGATCCTAGGTTCGATTCTTTACCCGATCATTTTTTTTGTTTCTTTTTGCTATTTTTGGACTTTATTTTTATTTCATTTTATAGTTTATACAAAGTGCTCCTATTTAACTTCTTTTTCTTGTTTTTGGATTTTGCCATTTTTTTTTTACTGGTTTTTAAATTTCATTATATAGTATGTAATTTATATATACAAAGTATTATAAGTCTTCAAACCTCTAATTACTCTCATTTAACTGTTTAATCAAGTATCGCCTTGTTGATAGTGATTACTAATGTGTTATTAAACTATTTGTAATGAACACATGTCTCCGTATTTTTTTATCTCTCTAATTATGTGTGCCTAAATTCTATTTTTTTTATAGCTTGTTTGGAACTAAGTTTCCAATTTTATTTTTAGTCAAAGAAAGTTTATTTATTTATTATTATTTTTTTTTTAAAATGTAACCCAAATCCCTTTACATCTACTATCAATTTGTGTAAATGCTTATCATTTGATAAATCATATTTATCGATTATTAAGGATTACATACCTTAAAATTGGGGTTTACCAGCATAAAAAAAAAATTTGGTTAATAAATTTCTTAATATGCAATTAATTTTTTAACAACTCCTCTTTCACCATATAAGAATAATTGTCATATCTCATAAGCGATTTCAAATATATATTAAACAATTTATGTGATCAATTTCTTTTTTCTTATAATTATTGTCGATTATTAAACATCTAAAAATTGTCCCCCCGGATTACAAATCCTGGCTCCGCCACTGTTTACTGCTGAAAATTGTCAAGGAAAAAAGGTTGTTTTATGGTGAGAGTTCCATCAAGTTCCAAGTGTACTGAGAGGTTTTGTTTCCAATTTCGTATTTGAAAATTAATCTTTATGCGTTCGCCTGATTTATGTAGCTGCATGAAATTGTAAGAGTTATAAGTGTGGGTGGCCTGTTAGGTAGAGGTGAAGGCGGAAGGTTACTTTAATGAGCTTTGAACCGCTATCTGGTCATTAGAGTTGGATCTATTTTAGCCTGAAACTATTGCTGGCTTTGCTCAACTTCAATTGTAGATTTTTTCATACTCCATTGTCAGAGTAAGAATTGTTATGGTTTAGATTAGATCATATATTGATTAAATTGGAATTTTTTAAAATTGTTGGCAGGTTGTTTCTGCTTTAGCAATTGATCATTCTGGATCAAGAGTTCTTTCTGGTAGTTATGATTATACAGTACGTATGTACGATTTTCAAGGCATGAAACGAGATTTAGCTTCATTTAGACAACTGGAACCATCCGAAGGTCACCAAGTACGATCACTGAGTTGGAGTCCTACAGCTGGATTCTTTTTGTGTGTTACTGGCTCTGCTCAAGCTAAGGTTTTACTTTGCTCTGCTTACTCTTAATTATATGGTCATTGGTACTTTCTTATATGCTGATAACTCTAATGAGAATACATTCTCTTATGTCAGATTTATGACCGTGATGGGCTTACTATTGGCGAGTTTGTAAAGGGTGATATGTATATACGTGATCTTAAGAATACTAAGGGTCACATATCTGGTATAACTTGTGGAGAGTGGCACCCAAATAAAAAGGAGACAGTCTTAACATCATCCGAAGATGGTTCACTTCGTATATGGGATGTAAATGACTTCAAATCCCAAAAGCAGGTGCGTGTATATACTTGAATTCATGTGTTTATGTAAAGCAGGTGCTAATATTTACTTGAATCCATGTGTTTGTGTGTGTGTGAATTCACGTGTTTTACTTGAATGCTTGCTAAAGTTTAGTTTTTTTTTTTTTTTTTTTTTTTTTTGAGTGGGGTGCTAAATATACAAGTACTAATTTCCACTTTTCCAGTCTTTTGAAACCATGATAGAATATTATATGGTTTCCAACTTTTTGATCATCTTGATGATATGAATATCCTAATCGCCTTTTATCCACACTTTTCCACTTATCTGTCACTTTGCTTTGTGTGCCTAAATTTTTATCAAGTGTTGTGAATCATGATTTACATTGATATATTATACTGTACTTTTTTATGTTTATTTTTTTAAATTCTCAGTGTTGGCTCATTACTTTTGACCTTTTACATCGGTATCCATTTTTTTCATTATTTTTTATTTTAGTCAGTATCCTTGAACTTTTTAAATTTCTCAATCGTAGCATTAATGATTGTTTCTTGGTTAAAAGTCTGTTAAACTGAACTGTAACTAATTATAGTTAACTCATCCTCATCCCTACCCCTCTCTCCCCTCAAAGCCCAACTTTTCTGCCATTAACTAACCTTCACATTCGCTCTACTCTAGCAGAAATACATTATTTCCTCGTCCACCATCATCTCTTTCCCGTTTCATCACCTGACTCACCATTTTCACCTCCATTCTTCCTTAATACCCTCCCAACCACTATATCAACCTCCACCCCAAAATAAGTCCTCACTCCTCAAAACCTCAATCTTTAAATTCTCACCAGTCACCACCCACCCCTATCTCTTCTATCTAGCCCTTGAAGTCAAAGGCATTGCCTTAGATTTTGGCATCGGCTTTTGAGTCTGAACTTGTCAATTGTTTTATATTTATTGGGTCAAATCAAAAGCTCTGAATCTATTATACAAAAATCAAATGCAAAATCAATAACAAGGGTAACTTTGAATGATCACTGTCATTCAAGAAGGCAAGATAAGAACATCCTCAACAAAATGACAAAAAATGGAAAGAAACGATCTCCTTTTTTATCACTCTTATAGGTATTACTTTACTAGTAGTATCATTCAATATGGGTTTTTTGTCAGGGTTTTTTTTGTGAAAGATGAAAGTGATGATATTGTAAAGGAGAGGAAGATACATATACGATGTACGCATTAGTCTGCAATTAATCTGTCTTTTGTTGGTTGGTCTGACTAGCTAATTAGCTAGTGACGATGGTGGTTTTGAATTTGCGGCAAGGGTTCTGTTGTTGATCGCAGAGAGGTGGAAGTGAGTGTAAAATAGTTGAATTCAGTGATGTTGAAGCCTGGGTATCAAATTAAAGAGATGAAATAGAAAGAGCAGAAAGAAGAGGAAAGCTTGAAAAGTCCACCATGGTTAATTAAATGATAAATTAACAGAACTTTGACGAAAAAACCTTCTCAATCCACGGTTGAGAATTGTTATCAGTTCAAAGCTACCAAAGATAATTGAAATAGTAATTGTCTTCCGATTAAAAAAGTAAAAAGAAAAGGGTTACCGGTGAGAATTCCCCCTATCTATTTTATTCGATTTTGGCTTATTCCTTTTGAAAGATATTATTTTGTAATTATACCTCAATATACAAAAGTAACGTATTTTTAGATGGGAATTTTGCTTCCTTTGTACATTTTTTTTGGTCCCATGAATTGTTTTATCTGACTAAGAAAAACAACAGTAATACAAATGACTCGTTCTCCTTCAATGACACTGAAATAGGAGTAAAGGGCTTTTTTCTGATGCATTATTTCTGAATCATATGTTGACTGTGATTTTGCAGCTTTCATTTGAAACAAGTCATACCCTTCTGTGTTATGACTGAAAGCAGATATGCAGTGTTGGAACTTTGGGGGTGGGGGTGGGTGGAAGCGCTGGAGTCTAGAAAATTTTGGTTTTTGACTGGAATAAACTTTCCTCTGACGGCTGTCCTTTCTAAAATTAATTGAACCATTATTAGTATTTCAACCATAATATATTGTATAATTTGCAAAATAAATAAATAATACAGAACCTTGTGTATCGATATCAAAATCTTTTTGGTTAAGTGATATTTATCACCTTGCATTGCCTGATGACAGTGTTATCTTTGCTGCTTTGAATGCCGCTTGTTCTGGATGCAAAACTTCTAGTTTCAGTTTCTTAACCCTCTTGTTTTATAGGTAATTAAGCCAAAGCTCGCAAGGCCTGGGAGAGTCCCAGTAACTACATGTGCGTGGGGACGTGATGGAAATAGCATAGCTGGTGGAATAGGAGATGGATCTATTCAGGTACATGTCACTTGCTTGTTCATTTTGTTAAGTCCATAGTTGTGCTCTATGTTTCTGCTGCGTTTAATAAAATTAATTAATATTATATTTTTATTATAAAAAATTACGTTCCTCTTTCAGCATTGTTAATGCTTCTGTAACCTTTAGATATGGAACCTCAAGCCTGGATGGGGAAGCAGACCAGATATTCGTGTTGAGAACGCTCATTCAGATGATATTACTGGGTTGAGATTTTCAAGTGATGGTCGTCATCTGTTTTCTAGAAGTTTTGATGGCACACTAAAGGTTATTTAAGTTTTACTTGTTTTTATGATTGCTCACCTGCAGCCTACATATCCAATTCGTCCTATCTTCATACTTTGTCAATCTTAAACTACAGGTTTGGGACTTGCGTCAAATGAAGCAATCTCTGAAGGTGTTTGAGGAATTGCCAAACCACTATGCTCAAACGAACATCACTTTAAGTCCTGATGAGCAACTTATCTTGACTGGTACATCTGTAGAGAGAGATAGCCCTATTGGAGGGTTGCTGTGCTTTTATGGTAGGGATAAACTTGAATTAGTATCAAAGGTTGGCATTTCTCCATCGTGCAGTGTTGTACAGTGTGCTTGGCACCCGAAGCTAAATCAGGTATGCTCACTTTCCCACACTTGTTACTTTAATTAATTATGAAGGAATTACCAAGGGTGTTATATAAATTGCATTATGAGAATCAAGTTTGACACTTGTTACTGAGAGAGTAGCTTGCTTGGAAAAGAAAAGGAAAAAAAGGAAACATTATAAAAAGCAAAACTATTATCTTTAAACCTCATATATTTGTGCTTTAGGTTTTCGCTACTGCTGGAAATAAAAACCAAGGAGGGACACACGTTCTGTATGATCCAAACATGAGTGAGAGAGGAGCTCTTGTGTGTGTTGCTCGTGCCCCAAGGATGAAATCAGTGGATGACTTTGAAGTGCAGCCAGCTATACACAATCCTCATGCACTTCCCATGTTCAGAGATCAACCAAGCCGCAAACGTCAGAGACAGAAGATACTGAAGGACCCAGTAAAATCCCACAAACCAGAGCTCCCTATGACAGGACCTGGCCATGGAGGGAGGACTGGTACATCTTCGGGTAGCTTATTAACGCAATATCTCCTCAAGGTAAGGATGGCTTCTATGAGTTTAAATTATTTCAGTCCTTGGCATTTCTCTTTGAGAATATGACCTGAATTCCATTTGCAGCAAGGAGGTATGTTGAAAGAAACATGGATGGATGAAGACCCTAGAGAAGCTATACTGAAGTATGCAGATGCTGCAGAAAAAGATCCAAAGTTTATTGCTCCTGCTTACGCTGAGACCCAGCCCAAGACTGTATTTGCAGATTCTGATAAGGAAGATGAAGAGTGATGATCTAATGTATTGTTTTATATCATCACATGAACGTGAAAGAGTACCTTTGTTAATTGCCAAGTTTTAAAGGCAAATACAAGGCGCTCATAACAACAGGGGTGAAAAAGGGCTCGTGTACTTCTCACATTAACAGATTACATATTTTCACATTCTGAAGCTTAGCATAGTGAATTGTACATGTTGGTCTTTCTGCACTTTTTCAGCCTTGTTGTAAGAGTGATGAAGAAAAACAGAGGGTATAATAAAAGCATATAAATTTGAGTTGCCTATTATAGTTAAACTTATGTTTTCGGTTTTCCTGATACATTTAGATGAAGTCGCGAATCTATTCTCTCCAAAATGCTATGATCTTAAATGTCGTATAATTCAAAAAATGTTGAAACACTGTTAGTAACTCTACCAAGTTCATTTTCTTTATCATTAAAATTCCAATATTAAAGTGATGCACTTAATTAAATACAGAAAGAGTAATGCCTTTTTATTCTAATGAAGACATGTTTAATTATACTTTTACAGCTCATGTGGTAGTCGTTATAGTATTGAAGACCAGTAGTGATAAATATCAATGTAATGGAGTATCATGTTAATGAATAATTTTCAAGGCCATGGTGATGCAACTCCAACTCCAAATATGTGCTTCATCTATTTCTATTACCATCCCCTCGAGTGGTGATAGATGGTAATAAAATATTATGATAGAAACTTTTTTAAAAAAAAAAAAAAAAAAAAAAAAAAAAAAAAAAATTAAATCGAGTTGGATTAACATTATCTAGGCATTGGCAGCAACCGAACAAGCAGTTACTGTATATTCATATTCTGTCAAACTGATAACCAGGTGTAAGAAAAAAAAAAAAAAAAAAAAACTCAAGATTGCAAATTACACCACATTCAATCACTAAGATGCCCAAAAGTATTGCTCAATCAGTAAGACAACACACCAATATGTGAAAGATCAAACCAATTTTATTGGATGGATAAATAACATTTACATTAGGTAGAACCACAGGCGCTTGATTGCGGCTCAGACAATTTTCCAAATGAATATAGGGATTTAACTTTCCCTGAATAGCATATATGTTACTTGGGCTATGAGACTATGTTACAGATTTTCTTTCCTTTCTTTCCAAATAACAGCAGCTAGAAACTATGCAGATCTAGCTGTTTGCAACCCCCCGCCCCATCAAAAAAGAAAAAGTGAGAATAAAAGAGTAAACCTAATCATGTACTACCTACAAACACCACGAGACCTATCTAACTGCAAGTAACTGCCTGATAGCTTGACAAGGGAGCATTCAGCATATTTTTCTATCTTGCCTGCTTTTCTGCGTCTAAATTATGACGTCTCGTGCTCAAAGGTTGCCAAACGAGAGTCTGATAATACTGAAAACATTTGTGTGTCTACAAACAGCTGCAAAACCAAAGAGCATAAGCAAAGGATGTAATTAATTGTCAACATTAAATTTAATTTGACCTTTATAATGCCTGAAGAAGAGAGGCTAAACAATGACGGTTATGACAGAACTAAGAAACCGAAGTGTATAAGATGCAAACTGATTTGATACAAGGGGCTCAAAAGGACAAACCTTAATGAATGGCCTGTCTCTGCTAGAAAAGGAATCAATAAAACTATCCTTTAGAAGTAGTGAGACCTGCAAGTACAACACGAGAATTAAGATCCTTGTTGCTATTTCATATTATAATTCAACCCTTTTATTCACCCGCCTAACTGCATTAATTTAATAGAGTTTCACTCACTCGATCGTTGTTTGATTGTACACTGGTGATCGTATTGGACCTTAAATCTGCACACAAGGACTCCATGTATCTCTTCATGACGTCTACAAATCGTGAGGCAGCTTCAGCCTGTAAATTCATCTAGAAATTTAAAATAGCCTGAAGAACAAGACACCAGTAGAGAGGATTTCATTCTTGGAACCTTATGGACAAAGGTCATGTACTTGATATGGAGTAGCATGCTAAGTCAATGTGTTTACAAGAAAGGGCTTTAGAGCGGAAAGTTCTAGGCAATTACATATGTATAGGGCATAAATCTAATCTTCTGTGCCTAAAGACATGCAGAACACTGAATACATGTAAAAAATGAAGCTAGAAAACACGATTCATAGGTTAGGTTCATATTACCCCTCCAACCTTTTACTCATCCCAATTAATAGGCCAAGGGACTATGAATCTATGATATGAAAAAAGAACTGGAACTCCAACACAGCCTATGTTGCCCATTTAAGAGATTTTTATCTTTAATTTTTTTTAAAAAAAAAAATAAAGGAAGCAATTTATGAGAATTATTTTCCATCAAATTGGGGGAAATGAGCTCATAATGAACAATAAAAGCGGAAAATTCCCATAATACAGGTTTTTTTTTTTTTTTTGAATTATTCTTTTTGCAAATTTGAGACAAGTCCCAAGTCTTATTTTGAGCCAGAAAAGAAATCAAGTATTAGCTGGAGTTAACAGCTGGACGATGCTTCCCATGAACTTCTCCCTAGTATCAAATAAGAAAATCCTCAAGCTAAAGAATATTAAATTTGAAAAGCTATCATTAGGTTCCTGGCCTAAACTTAGCCCAACTAATGTTGTTTCAGGTTTATGTTAACCTAATTAATTAAAATAACTTGAAAAGTTTAATTCATGATAAATAAAGATCCACCAGCTCGATTAACCGGTACAAATCAGACAATGCAGAACGAATAGCATTCAGAGTGCTCTTAAAAAGCTTCTTTTAGTCTCCCTTTGCTAGCTCATCGCTTCTCATTATTGACACATCAGCAACAGATTGTTTTAAACTAAACAGTAAACAGAGCTTTTTTTGGTGCAGCAGGCCACACCGTGTGGCCTGCTGCCTAGTCAGCGAAAATAACAGACCCAGACATGCATAACGGAGTTATTATTCACGCGCATAACGGGGTTACTGGTTTTGTGAGGGTTACTAGTATTTTTCAGGGGTTACTTGTATTTTTCAGAGGTTACTTGTATTTTTTTTTTCAGGGGTTACTTGTATTTTTCAGAGGTTACTTGTATTTTTTTTTCAGGGGTTACTTGTATTTTGTTTTTTAGGGGTTACTTGTATGGATTACTTATTCTGGGGTTACTGTATTTTTCAAGGGTTACTTGTATTTTTTTTTTTTTTCAGAGGTTACTTGTAAATATGTATTATTTATTCAAGGGTTACTTGTATTTTTCAGGGGTTACTTGTATATTTTTTTTTCAGGGGTTACTTGTATGGATTACTTATTCCAGGGTTACTTGTATTTTTCAGGGGTTACTTGTATTTTTTTCACGGGTTACTTGTATGGATTACCCGGGGTTACTTGTATTTTTTTCAGAGGTTACTTGTAAGTATGGATTATTTATTCAAGGGTTACTTGTATTTTTCAGGGATTACTTGTATTTTTTTTCAGGGGTCACTTGTATGGGTTAATTCAAGAGTTACTTATTCAAGGGTTACTTGTATGAGTTACTTATTCAAGGGTTACATATATGAGTTGTTTCAGGGGTTACTTGTATGAGTTACTTATTCAAGGGTTACTTATACCAAACCACTAACACCATACAAGTAACCCCTGACCAAAACCAGTAATACCATACAAGTAACCCCTGACCAAACCAATAACACCCTACAAGTAATCCCTGACCAAATCAGTCGCACCCTACAAATATTCTACAATCTACTCATATTACTATTGTTGTTTCTGTTGCTGAATTTTTAACGAAGAATGTTCGATCTAAGATTTCACGAAGAAAACAAGCTCGCATTTCTCTGGTTCTCATCAATTTCACTACTTCAAATGTTGTTGATGATCTTAAGGTTAATTGATTGCAAGTTTTCACAGCAATTTGACACCCAATTTCTACAATTTCGGGCTTTAATTGCAGCAATTTGGCAAAGAGGAGAGAGAAAATGGGTAGAGTAAAGATATGGTTGTTGATGATGTGTGGTGTGGTGTGGCTTGAAAAAGAAGCTGAGAAAATGGGTGGAGTAGAGATATGTTGTTGGTGATGTATGGTGTAGTTTGGCTTGGAGAACAAGTTAAGAAAAGAGGAGTGAGAAGACTTGTGGTATTTAAAAAAAATAAAAAAAAAATAGAAATTATGGCTGGCCACATACAAAAATTTGTGAACAGCAAATGATTCTATTTAAAAAGATAATGTGGCAAGGTGTAAGGTACAAAAAGATAAGATAGAACACAAGACAAGATAAAAGATCCCCGGCATGTGTGTGTTTTCTATTATTACGGACCTTACATAAGTCATAAGCAAAAATCATCTCTCTCGTAAAATAATTAAATAAAAAAAATACAAAGTATTATATATCAAAACCACACTTGCTATTTTAGAAAAAAAGTGAAAGTACCTGCTCCTCACTGCACTTATATACAGGGTGCTTTTCAGCCATCATATAATGACCGGCCAATGCAGTATGAATTGGACGAAGTTCAGAATAGAGCTCCTTTCGTCGAGGAAGCAAGGGCAAGGAACACATTTTTACCTGCATCAACATATTTAAATGTGAAAAAGGACTCCCCATATCAGTGAAAAACTGACAACACTGACTCCCCATATCAGTGAAAAACTGACAACACTAGCATCAGTAGAATTGACAAGCATCATGGAATTGGGGATCAGAAGCTGGAATTTGGGATAGAGGATAGGAGTGTGCAGGGAAAAATTTTGTAGAAGAGTTCAATTTCAAAAGGTCCTTTTCAGAATCAATCCAATTGAGGTTGAGGTCCTTTCATTTCATCACCCCACCTTTCGTTATTAATTTCCTACAATGTTTGGCATTACTAAAAATTATAATTTACTCCGATTTGAGTTTTAGTTAATACATTTGTCAGCCAAACTACACAGGAGCTCTTTTCTTTCTATCAAATATTTTAGTTCCACCTGCAGCTTTTCACCCAACATATGCAGCTTTTCACCCAACATATATAAACCCATAGATCATTCTTGCCACGAGTAAATGTTATAAACAAACAGCCCTAACAACAACATAAAAAATTTCATGGCTTACCAACATATATATTTTCATTCAGACACCATGACAAGCTTAACACAAATGTATATGTTAACATCTAAAAACGAGTGCAAACCTGGTCCTTTGCCACATTAACAAGGACAAGATTAGAAGTCTTAATCTTCATGTCTGCTGGTTTATTCTTTAGACCAACCTGCAAACCAAAATTAAATAGAGCTTCATCAGGATGACAATTTGCAATGCATCGATCCAGAAAATCAATAACCACACACGAAACTAACACTCTCACTTACAAGTCAATATACCAAATTCTTAAACAAACCCAAAATAAG